GATTGAGTTCTTTTTTTAGTCTACTTCATTTTAAATTTCTGAATAATCTATTTTTTTTTTGCAGAAAATTTTAATACATCTTCTGGTGGCTTCTCGATCGAACATTCTGCTCTACAAAAAGTTCATCACGTCAAACAAAGTCGTCATTAGTCGGGGTGTGTTCCTTTTCCCTCTCTTTTACTTTAATTTTGAATTACGTTTTGAGACAAAACGATTTAAGTGAGAGGGAGGGATTACATGTTGAATTTTGCCTCACTTGTCGAATGATTGAACTTAAGATATTTTGATCTTGATATGCTCATACCTAAACAGATATGTTAGAAAAATACTCCATAAATTGCATACGTAGGTCTAACTCGCGTCCTACGAAACGCGATGAAAGGCCTCGCTTTATACAAAACGCTAGGTATATTCAACGTGGAAACACTTTTCAGATAACACAATTTAATATTGCTATCAAATACCTCGCGTTACGCAGAACGCGAGGTTCCCGAGATATTGAACTATCATGAGAAATTTATTGCGAGTGGTATTCAACATACCTCACATTTTACAAAGAGCGAGGTATTTACTTTTCCAGCCCAAATCACAAGTCTTTTAGGTATGTTTGGGGGGCATGTTCAGGTATTTAATCTCAAATTTTTCATAATTTATAAGATTAGAGGCATAGTATTGAAATTTATCTTTTAGTTGAGACCAATATCAAGACATACAAGATATTGTAAGTGAGTTAAAAATCGCATTGAAAAATGATTCCAAGGCTTGTTTTGTGCATGAAGAAAATGCTAAAAAGATTTGGTAGGCATATTCGAGTGGTTTGTTTCAAGTAGTTAATATGAAAAAAGTACATAATTTATAAGATTAGAGGCGTAGTATTGTAACTTATCTTTCAAATGAGAATAATATCGGCACATACGATACATTGTAATCGAGGTAAAAATCACGTTCAAAATGTTCTGAAGCTTGGTTTTTTAGATGAAGAATACGATAACATGGCTTGATAGGCATGTTCGGGGCAGGGTGCAAATCATATTGTTTAAGGATAACTTAAACAAATTAATAATTAAAACTTAATTAATAATTTAAACAAATTTTAACATTATATTCGATTGGATTACATATTTAAAACATAAAAATGTGTTTGTTTAAAACAAACTAATCGATACGAGGTTGTGATCGATTAGGATATTTGTTCTTCGAGTGTACGAGATTCTTACAAATACTACATAGCTTCGGTTATTCGGTTCTTTCTCTATTTTAGACCAAATCTTCGTCACAGTATATCCTTGTTGAGGTGGGCGACCCCTTTTGTTGGCGTTGTAGTGAAAAATCTGATCGAATTATAGGTTCATCATCAACTACATTTGGATCATTTTCGTTTCTAATTGGAGGAAACTCGTACTGATATACATTGAATATGATTTCCAGTAGGTACACGAGATCAACTAATTATATGTATTCAATTCGTACAGAAGAACAAGCAGCAATGACATGTGGACAATGGTATTTGAATGTTTGGAATACTCCGCATTTGCATGTTTTGTCACGTAGATTGACGACGTATGCGTTGTGTTGTATGCCTTCGAATAGCCTCATCCTGAAACAAATAATTTATTTTGTTCGCGAGAGACACATGACACAGTCATCGCGTTTGAGTGCTACAGAAAGGTTTGCAATTTTCTGTGGAGGTCTCGGTGGATTTGGTGGCCAACCTACAATCCAATCAATTGCTTGTCTTCCCAAGGTTGAAAACAGAGTTGCCAATCGATATATATCACTTAGACAACGGAAGTGATATGCAAATGTTGCATTCTCTTCAGTGATAAATTGATTACCTCAGCCAAGTTTGTTGTCATGTGAACGTATCATTTGTCCCCATCAAATGACCAAAGTCATTTATCCATTTGGATTTTAGAAAGGTAGTGGTAGCCTTCTTGATTCATATGTCTTAATTCTTCAAACATCTCTTCAACCTCACGTACGGAATGCGAGTGGTCTACCCATTAAAAATGCAACAGTTAATTATAAATAGTGAAAGAGAATATATCTAAATAAAAAAAATGAAAGATATACCCATTCGAAGCACCATTATGTGTTCATCTTTATTCTTAAACTTCTGAAAATGATTTGCACCAATATGGCGTAAACACTATCGGTGATAAATATGGAGAGACTTCCAAGAAGGTCCCATACGCTCGATTATGTATCTGATCCATGTGTCTCTTTAGAAATAAGACATATCTCACCAAAACGCTCATGCAAAATATGTGATATAACATATATGTGCAAGTACTTAAGGAAGAATTCCCAAGAGTGTATATCTTTCTTTTCGACTATTGCGAATACAATAGGAATTGTTTTTTTTATTGTCGTCATGTGCCACTGCCAATAACATTATTTATGTGTATCTGTCGTACAACTAAATGTCATAGATATGAACCATCGGCTTGTGGTGCCAAAATATATTGACGTACTACGGAAATATCCAAAATAGCCTGTGAAGTTGGCACTTACCTTGTACGACACGCTTATTTTCGTACATCAAAACAGTTTCTAGTTTGACAATAGTTCCCGATATATGTTTCTTTATCAATTTCAGCCATGACCGTAACTCTTTATACGATTCTTCCTATTAACTCTTTATGGAAGTTAACTTTATAGTCGTATTTAGATGTGAATGCAACAATACAACTGAAAACTGATATATGTGGATTTGCTTTGACCAATTATATAAAAGCATCACAAAGCACGAGAACATCTAAGTTTGAATAATCTTGAGTGAGCCTGCTGGCGGTGTATGTATGAGGTTGATCATATTTTGTCAGCTTTCATAGGTTGTTCATCATTTTCAAGCGTGATACACGAACCCTCCACTTACATCCCTTGAACTTGTGGCACATTCAACCATGTACTTGTATATGTGTGTTTTTTTACGACCGATATAATCGAGTGACGTATATTATAATTCTTAATGGCAACCACAATGAGTTTTTTGTTCTGAATATCATTCTAATATATAGCTCACCATCACCATGTTCATTTTATTGATCAAGTTGTGGGAATTACGGAAAGTTTAAAGCGTTTAAAGGTTCCATCTCAACTGTTGTGAAGTGGGATGGTGGATGGTAATAAGAAACATGAGGCACAACATGTCGGATGTCATCATTATTTGCTCCTTCTGGCATGTCAAGGTCATCTGGTTATTCATTGAAGGGCCCTAACTCGTCACCATCTGCGTCAATCTCCCTTAATGGTTCTTTGTGAGAAATATCCCCCTCAAACTGGAATAGTTCAACTTTGTTGACTACGGGGACAATAGGAGTAGTAGTTGTACGTTGATCATGAGACCGCTCACGAGAAATAAAATGGATCTCGCGTTGTGCAAGACGCAAGTTCACCAACTTTGGCAAATATATTATAACAATCTATGTACTTGTTATGCTTATTGTTTTTGGAACCATAAAACAATTTTTTTTTGTAACATTGTGCATATAGGTAATGTTAACCATTAATATTGTCTAATTATAACAATCTAATTTTTATGTTATTTTATTAAATATTATTTTCAAATATTAAATATTAAAATTAAATATTAAATATTAATATAGGTTATGTTATTTTATTAAATATTATGTAATAAAAATAAAATGACTAAATTAAATAATAAAATTAAAGTAAAAAATTAATACCTCACTTTTTGTATAACACGAGGTATTTAATATTAATATTAAATTATATTATTTGAAAATTCGTTCACGTTGAACGTATTTCGTGTCTCGTACAAAGCGAGATATTTTCTCGTTTTTCGAAAAACGTGGGTTAATTTAACGTGTAGACTTTGAGGATATTTTTTTCTAACAATTTTACTTATAAATACTCTTAAAAAAATAAAATTTTGTGATTTTTTATATAATAACGGCCGATCCATATGACCATGACTATGCAGTCTAAAAAAAAAGTGCATCGGAAAACCTGACCTCACGTAGGGGTAATGAGTCGAACCAACTTGGATCCAATCTTATTCCCCATTTATTTTTAAGGTAAACTACAAAGCCACAAAATTTTTTGACTCAGATTTTATTTTGAACACAATACTCATTTTTGTCAATTCAACCACTAAACTTTTAGTATAGTTTCAATCAAGTCACTTTTCGCTAATTGTTAATAAGATTATTGATCATCATAATTTGACATATTCCTATAATAACATATTTGATTTTTATTATTTATATATTCTATTATTTATAGTTATTTAAATAATTCAATCCTTTAATAAAATGAAAACACATTCTACCGTTCTATTGATGAAATATCAAGAAAATAAAAGTTTTGAATTGACACCTGCCCCAAACTCATCCCAAGATTTGAATTGTTATATGTGAATCCCTAATTGATTTTATTTACTAAACAATCAATTTTTAAGAAATATTTATATAAAAGATTATTAAATAACATTTGAATATCATAATGTAATTTGTTTTATTGAAATAATCAATATTAATTGGACTTAAAAACTAATAGATTAGCTTTTTTTTAAAAAATAAATAAATAGTACAACTAAATAGATTCCCCCCCCCCCCTCTCAAAGACCATCTTTTTATTACTCCCTTTCTCAGGAGAATGGGATAGGAGTAGGACTATGAAAGCAAAGCAGTCTATTCTCTGTCACCATGGTCACCCATTCTATTGTTTTAAGTGTATTATTTTCATGCTGCAACCTTATCCAATCAAACCCTTCACCAAGATAGGGACTTGATGGATACTAATTTAAACAAGAATCAATTCCTTTGTTTTTTGTCCCATCGTTTATAAAACACCCTTCTTTTTCTTTTCAAATATTTTAACCTCATATTAATATTATTATTTAAAAAATTACAAGAAAATGGATATATAAATAGCAGATGATCAAAGATAAGTAGAAGAAGATGAGGGATAGTGAACTCAACAGTTGTACGTTTTATATTCTACATTTGTGATCCAGAAAATAATGGCCTTATTTATTTGATCAAAGATTAGTTTTTTTTCCTTTTTAATATCACAGCCAAATCTAGGGAGGTAGAAGAAAGGAGCAATCTCCTCTACCTCCTATTCCTTGGCTTATAAATTTCAAAATTTCCACCAACCCTTTTCTTTTCTCTTCCTTGTTAGGCTCAACTTGCATTTTCAGATTATTAGGAAAAGCTGGGATAATAAGATTACTAATTTGGAATTTAGCTCCAACTTATTATGGATTTTGGGAATTCTGGTTCAACTTTTTGTTCTTGCTTTAATTCATCTTCAGCACCATACATGTGTTCTGGAATTGGAAGTTGTTACTCGCAACCCCAGATCTTCAACTTTATATTGAAACCCTCTTCTGCTTCTTCCAAATTCACTGCTGCTTCGTCTCCCTTTAGAGAACTCGCTTGATCGTCTTCCATTTTCACCTTCCCTTTCTTCTTCTTCTTCTTGCTGTAGGTATATATATAATTTTTGTTAGCTCCATCATTGAAATGATGTCCATATCGTATTTGGTGCCAACGGCAGCTATGGCTCATCCAACATTTCCAGATCACTGCTTCATCAGGTAGTTCTCCGATATTTGAGCTCTTTTCGAGTTTTTTATGCTTAGTAATTGATTTTGTTAACTGGGCTCACTATAATTTGACTGTTGGGTACTTGGTTTTTTTATCATCAAAAAAGTTTGGGGATTAGGATATTTTCCTAGTAGTTTAATGAATTAGAGATGGAAGAAGGATGGAAAATCCGTTTATTCTTTACGATCATCAGGTATGATCATCACCATCGTAATGATCACAAGGACTTGAGGAGGTGGAGGATTAGGACCAGTGCTGCTACTCGTGCTTACCCTCTTTTTTCCAATCAGATTCAGCTAACTAAAGATTCTCCTTCCCGTCACAAATTGTACCAGGAGGTTGATCTATAAACAATATGTACACATACGTTGTTCTACCATTCTGGATATCCACATATCCAATCATAGGTTTTGTTATTTAGATTATCTTCCATTTCCATTTTCTGATTTTCTGTTGGGACTCTAATGAAAACCCACAGGCTCTTAAGACTGCAAGGGACAAGTTCACTCGGGAGATCTCCTTCCAGTCCAAGGATAAAGACATCTCTCTTGCTAAGGTACTAACGACAACCTTCAAGGGGTGAGATGCTTTAGATATTTAAGTTGCAGATTTTATTTTGTTCGATATCTTTTTGTTTAGGCTCTACTTTATGTTGCGGCTGAAGACGAGGCGTACATGTCTTTTAACCGAGAGATGGACACTCGGTCTCTTCTGAATGAAAGGAGAAATGTTTCTTCCCCATTGGAGATCGAAGGCTGGAATTCTTTGGAGGAAATGCCTTTGGGTGGAAAGACCATACCTGAATGGCTAAGTGAGTTGGATGCGATTGCTAAAGAAGTCGAAGCCGAGCTAGTTTCAAGGGACATAGGCTGCCATCTGGTTGAAGTTTTGGAGGCAGTCAATTTAGTTCTTTTTGAGTTAAGAGGCTTGACAAGATCCCCCGTTCTTGTAGATTCTAAGCATTCATACTTACACTCAGTACTTGATTCCAGATGTGGCAGTGGTAAAGCCTCATTCTACTTTCTTTTTTGCAGCAAGACTCGCTGCAAAGCATTTTCCGTCCAAATTTTTCCTAAAAACATATTCTTCCTGAGCAATTTATTGCCATTTTGGGCTGTCTACTAATCTGATTTTGTTAATTACAGCAATTTTGCTTAGCATAATTTACATTGAAATTTGTCGGCGACTTGGTCTAACCATAGTGGGATCTCGAGTTGGGGAAGATTTTTTGATATGGCCCCAGACAGGGTACCCAGAGGTACTTCAATCTTGAAAATTTATTTCTGCGGCTTAGTTTCACGGTACATGTTCTGTGTTCATACTCTGGCAATGTATGTTTGATGTCTTAACCAATCCATTGTAATGTTCTATGCTTAGAAAAATTGCGAGCATGCCTTTTTTCTTTTGGTTGCTCACTCGCCTAAGGTCACCTTAAATGCACTTAACTTCTACTCTTCCCTCTATAGGAACTCTTCAAAGTGACTTCAGGACACAGCTTGTTTGCTATTGTCAATGGAAAGTGTGTGGAGGACCCTAGATCAATGGCATCAGATTTAACCGGCACTTCACTTAGAGGTCTCGAGATAGCTACGAACCGTGATATTATTGGGATTGCATTAGCCAATTTAATTGTAAGTACTAATCCTCATCATCAAGTTGTATAACTAGTTCTACCTTTAATTTATTCTAAACCATTAATGCCTCGAAGCGTGCCAATTTTCTTTTCCTACGAATGAAATAAACTAAAAAAAGAAAATTGCAGAGGCTTCACTGGAAACGTGCTTCAAGATCAAATCGCGGATTGATGCTGACTTCTCCCCTTAGGCATGTTCACGATGCCAGTGAGAAACCTAACATGATCGATGAGTCCAATGTCCCTTTGTTGCGCCCCCAAGATCTTAGGTAAATCATAATTTATTTTTATGATTCGTAGCATAACTTCCCAAAATTTGCCTTTCTGCAACATTTGTTCCTTTTAACTGCCACGCATCAATTTCATCATGCATTTCAAGTCGAATGAACATCTAATAAAGGCCATGACCTGCAACTTCGATTTACCTTTCCCATTTTGCTCTCATTCTTTTCATTATGACTGTAGCCTCTGTTTCTCTTTTGTGCTGATGTTTGGTAGTGGGATTTAGGCCTTTGTTCTGCTTAATACTCGACTGGTAAATAATGCAGTGTCGGATATAACTCATCGACAAACTTTTTACCGTCAAGAACTATTAATCTTCGTGCGTTATGTAGAGCCGATCCTTCTTTATGATAGGCTGATCTGGCTTGATTGTGTGAAATTGTAACATGATTTATTTGCAAACATCATAAATGGTAAGCTAAAAAGGATGGGCTTATTTGCAGGCTAGCAATAATGGCTTCAGAAAGATTGTTGATTCTGCAGCCACATAACTGGGCACTGAGGAGAGAGCATGGCATGATGCTATATTATAATAGGTATGAAGTCTAAAAATTCTTCTTATCTTTTAAAAAGAAGGTTTGGTTGATGGATGGAACCAAGTTCGATAACTAAAAAAACTGTCAGGGAATACGGCAAGGCGGTGCAAGAGCTTAGCATTTGCATGGCCTTTGCTCCAGAAGAAGAGGCTGAGATTCTCGAACCATTCGTCGAGAAGTTGCATTTAATGCGGCTGGAATCGTCGTGGAAGTCTTTGGGACACGTAGGTCGACTTACGGTTCCTTGAGTTTTGTGCATAACCAACCTTTCTCCCTTTATGTTGGTTTAATGGATGAATTCTGCGATTGTGATTAGTTAGGCAGGCACGGGTTTTTGATCACATGAACAGACGAACTCCGAAATATATAGAACTATGTACCGGAGATGTGAGCAAATCCTGAGTTGTACTTGTCTTGAACACACTCCAAACAAGGGAATGGTCCGTCTTCCCTGTCATTTTCCAGTGGCTCATTTGTTAATGAGGAAACCGATTATTAATCGGAACGGCCATATTTTATGGTGCTCGTATATGGATGACATATAAGTTAGATAATTTATTTTTTGTGTTTTCTAATGATAATTTGTTTTCATCCTTAAAATTTTACAAGTTCGTTTCTTAACATAAAAATATTCATCTAATTCACGGCTCCAAGTAAATTGAAGATAATAATATTAGCATACTGGCAAGATCTCTAATGAGCTGCTGGGAGGACCAAAAAGCATACCTAAATCCGAATCCATGGAGATTCCAGCATTATTCTTCGAAACAGGAACTCATGCAAAACTAAAATCAATAGGGTAAACTACTTGGTCACTAAATTATAAAGGTGGTTCTGTTTTGACCATTGAAAGGAAAGTTTCTTTCCTTCGGATGCCGCATTACTTTAGTAAAGTCGGTCTTATCAGTGTATTTTTTTTTATCTTTGTTTCAGATGCCGACGTCGGTAGCTTCAAAATTGATCAAATTAATCGCGAATTTTATCTGGAACTCAAAGTCAAGTAAGAGTATTCACTGGATAAAATGAGAACATGTGTAGACCAAGAGAGATTGGTGAGTTAGAATTTTCTGATACAAGACTCGGAAATAGATTCCTGTTGAACAAATGGTTGTGAAGGTATGAAAGGGAACCTATCAGCTTATGGAGAAAAGTGGTGGACGCGAATTATGGTTTGGATCGCCACTCGCTGATGCCATGTCCTAGCAATCCGAGAATTGGTTGTTGTGTATGGAAAAATATTACCCATCATTTGCTTAAGCCCGATGATTTTTCTCTAGTAATCATTCCTGCGCGGTTGGTGATGGGAGGAATATTGATTTCTAGGAAGTTACTGGACTAAAGTATCATCTTTAAAATTAGCTTTTCCGCGAATCTTTTGGGTTGCGTTAAAAAATGCTGGTAAAGTGTGTGATTTTGGAGCATGCTCAAATGGTGTTCGGGCTTGAAATATCGAGATAGGCAGAGCCCTATTCGATTGGGAGGTATGTAATGGGCGGGTATCTTGTTTCGGATAGGTTGATTTGGATGGGTTCACAAAATGACAAGTACTCTCCCAACGCATTATGTTCGCATGTTGCCTCCTAGGGACAGAAAAAGACCACTTTTGGAGATTAGTTTGGGACAATCTCACCCCCGAAGGTTGAAGCGCTTGTTTATAAGATCGTGCTTCAAAGGATTCCTACGTTTGTGGAACTTTCCAAACGGGGTGTTCCCAACTTGGAAGCCGCTGTTTGTGTTTTGTGCCATAAAGATCCCGAGTCGACTAATCACCTTTTTTGTCACTGTGAGGTTTTGTGGAATGTGTGACAGAGATGGTGTAGGCTCTGAAATATTAACCTAGTAGTCCCAGTTAACTTTAAGTCTTTCCTCATTGTGTGGAACAACCTTCGGATTCATAATTCCTCTAAATTAGTTTGGAAAATGGCTTTTTTTTTTTATGGACCGTTTGGACTTCTAGAAATGATGTTGTTTTCAATAGTAAATTGTGAGATGGAAACAAGTTATTTGAATCGGCTCTACTGCTAATCTGTTTCTGTTGCAAAAATAAATGACCTTCCTCCATTTCGACGATCCTTGACTTTGTAAGATGCCCTAATGGTGCTGCTGTAGACTTCAGTAGAGTAGCAGCTTTGATTATTGGTTAAATCAGTGTTGGACTTTTAAGTTACTGCTGCTTTGTTTATATTGTTGATCTACTATAGTTTTCCCTCTGCTACTTGCAGCTATCGATCTTATGCCTCGAGGGCGGGTTGCATGGATTAGGGCCTTTGAGTGTAGTTTAGAATCGTCAGGCAATAGTGTTGGGTGTATTCATGGATCGTTTTTGGTTTTGTTTCGCTGTTATGATGGGTGTGCATTGCTTTCATTGTTTCATGCGCGTTTTCATGGACGTGCCTGAGGAAATACATGGCCTGGCATCAATATGTGCTGGTTCCTGGTTTGCGAATTTTAGCAGTCGGAGGGAGGGGTAGTCTTTCCATTGAGCATCCTTTTGTTATTCTGATCTGGAGGGTGTTATTTGGGGGTGCTGATTAGGTTTTTGGTGATTGTTACTGGACTTTTTTGTCCCGGGGCGGGGGGGGGGGGGTTTAGACGTCCATTTTCTATGATAGGGGATCATAGGTGTGATTTGTGGTTGTTCAATAACTCATTGCTGTATATTATCATTACAATGGTGCACTCTTTTTCCTTCACCTAATTTTATGAGGTTTTTTTTAACGAAGCCCATAACGGTGGTTGTCATTTTGTAGGTTCAATAAAACCGTGCAAAAACTTTTTCTTTTAAAAAAATATAAAATTTTGTTAATCCAGTCATTTAACTATTCAAATAATAATAACCAAGTCATTAACAATTAATAATTATCAAAATCTTGGCGTGACAGTTAAATAAATTTGTATAATTATATATTTGATTTTTATTATTTATATATTTTATTAATTTAATTTTAATTTAATTATCTAAAATTAAATATGTAATTATATAAATTAATTTAATTGATATGTGAACATTTCCGTAACTGCTACCCGTTAATGATCTGATTCATATTATTTGAACAATTAAGTGGCCCCATTATCGGAAAAAAAATAATTAGATGACATGATCGATAAAATTCATAGTTTCATGATCTAAATAGAACTTACCCTATAGTTTAATGACTACATAGGTACTCTATGGTTATTCAATTTGTCCATTACCAACTACCAGCAATTCTTGAATCATTCGTAAACTGTAGAGCGAGTTCCAATCCACGGCTCCGGTGCGTTTAGATTCTTCTTCAAAAGAGTTACTCGCCGGGAAAAAAATCCCAACCTACTTTGATGGAAAGCTCTGTGCCTCGAAAGGATTTATGGAAATTCAAGTGACCGAAGAGTCATGTTGGATTATAAGGGGCTTGATTCCATATTAGGCTTGAAAGCAAAACCCCGTATTTTGGCCCAATACCCCACGTCAATAAAAAATTTAGGGTATTGGGCCTACTCGAATTTTATTTAGTAAACTACGACATTTGCTATATTGCGCTCGTAATTCGTCACGATATTATTTTTAATGGTCCCGTGTAGTGGGTCTCACGTGGTCCATTATTAAATTGAGGTTATGATGACTTGTCACATCGGTGTGATGAGTCCATTAAAAAAAATATTTTTAATATTTTTAAAAAATAAAATTTATAAAATATAAAAAAAAAATCGATGGAACTCATCACGTCGAGGTGATGAGATTCTTCGAATTAAAAAAAAGGTAGTTGTTGTTTAACGGGCAAAGGGCAGCAACGATCAATGGAACTCATCACCTTCGACCGACCATTTTGAAAAACTAGTTGTTTATAGCAGTTGGAGGTAAGACTATAAATAGGGGTTCAGGGTTTTGGTATTTCACCAAATCCTAAATCTAAAAAAATTGAAAAAAAACAAACGTTGTGCGAAAATCTCGAAAAAATGGCAACCTAAGAATATATGTTGTGCCTGGATAATGTCTATGTTTCGTCGAATTCCAAGTGTTGGGAAAATGGCCACTATCCAAATTCATGAGAGGCTATCAGGTAATGATAACGTGGCTGGAGTTCGAATTCCAAGTCACATACTAGTCTACCGAGGAGGAGGTTGTTTTTGAGTCCCGAGCATTTCTTCTGCAAGTGATCGGAGGTACTGGACAAATCCGATAATTTGGCGCACACATAGTATCTACAATATTTGAAAGACTTCGTTGTGTGCCGAAATATCAGTTGGGGCTCAGTGATTTTGGCTTTCTTTACCGAGAGCTTTGCAAGGCTGCAATTGTCCATTGTGGTTGAAAAGCCGATGTAGCAGGTTTTATGTTACTACTAAAGTCCTAGACCTGGTATCGGTTGCCGTTTTTGACGTCGATTGCATATGCCCCGGTCGAGTTTCCACTAGCCGCAAGGTAATTTTTTAATTTCATTTATTTAACTTTTTTTTGAATTTCAAAATTTTATTTATTTTTTATTTGTTTATAATATTTTTATTTTTAGATATTTTAGATGATGTCATAAAATAACGGAGATGAAGTTGGCGGTGCCGATGCACGAGACATACGGATGAGGATCGACATCGTCGGTCGATTTGTTGTATGACATACGGTATTTTATTATTTTTTAATCTTTTTAACTTTTTATATATTAACTTTAATATTTAACATTTACAGTTCTGTTGGCTTCTGTACGTTGACGAGGAGATCAACCACATATTGCTGGCGCGATTTTAAGAGGGGTCTTACTTATGGTGTGTCATGACACTGTTATTGCACCAAGCGATTATTGAGTGACATGCGATTGATAGAGTGATGCGACAGTTTGCGGCACACCAATCGATTACTACATAAATCGCGATTAATATGGACGTGCTCCATACAATCGATAGCCTGAGAAACATGATGAAAATTGGTCGGCGCGATGCGCTTACTGCATCGACATATGGAATCAATGTGAACTATCGCTCTCCCATTGTCAGGACATTACACCGCTTGAATTAGATTTCGACCATTCCCACTATCTTCAGGTTTACGAACAAAATGACAAATCATATCTCACGACACCAGAAGATAGGGCTGAATGACAACATCATCAGGCCTCACGCGCCAAGTCTAAGTCCAATAAGAAAGCATCGTCATCGTCTTCTTCCACTTCAGCATCTGCAGTTGAAGAGTATTATTACACATCTCAGCCTAATTTCGGTTTCAATCCTCTATTTCATACTTCATTTGAGACATGATCAAATTGGGTCGGAGGTTCATGAGATACACCGCAGTACACTCAAGCATCTTCGACAGAACATGCAATTGTGGGTGAGTGAGACCATATCCTATATAGTCACCAAAGTCAATTTGAAGCAATTACGACGATGGTGACATCAAATGTCATAAATTCATCACCGTCTTTCGAAGGTGGATCACAGTGTGTTTGGTACACCTCCTCGGCAAGACAACGACAACAACACTTATCAAGGCCTACGACCTAGGCGTACTCGACGAGTCCCGTGACATTATTATTCGACCACTCTGCGACATCCTCAAGAACTTAGAAGACATAGATAAATTTATT